AGAAATTAAGTAAGTACCTGTATTGGCCTCGTTCCTCTGTTCCTCCAGATACCTCTCTACTAGCTGGTATATAGAGAACCAGTGCTTGATTGATTTCTCAGTGTGCCGCTTCATTGCGTTGTCCAGACTGCTCGACCAACAACTACCAAACAAAAATGACAGGACACATTTACATTATAAACAAGTAGTTTGAATCTCTCTCTACAATAACATAGTAAACTGTCAGGATTGAATCCTTCTGTGACTCACTTGAGCTCCAATTTGCGCCACTGGATAATGAGCTGGGTGACTGGTTCCAGTTCTTTCCTCAGAGAGACTGAGCGGCTGGCGTTATTCTCCCAGTCCTGAGGACAGCAGCAGAGAACAGAGGTGACGCCAAGAAGCACAGAGCTCTCCTCTGAATAACAGACTAACATCTCAGAAGCTGTAACTCGCAGATTTTTAGTTGTCTACATGTTGGCAATTAAAATTGTCACTGACATCATTTCTAAATGTATCAACACTACCTGCAACTCTAAAGTGCATGAACGTTAAAATGCATGTCCTGTGAGGCATCTTGCGGACCGAGCTCACCTGCGCTTTACTGAGCAGAATCTCCAGACCGTTGAGGAACTTGGCGAGTGGACTGGCCAGACTGAAAGCCATGATCCTCTCCACCACCACAGTGAGCTGAAAAACAACACACACAAGCACAGGATTACTTTTTACAGCCCAAAGTTTACTAACTCATCGAAAGAATCTGTATGACAATCACAGTTGTATGTAAAGCACAAGGTTAAGTAGACAACAGAAATGGTCAATTCATTGCATTTACAGTCACTTTTACTGTGTAACTGTAGATCCCATGGCTTTTTTTTTACCACTTCTCTCTATGTAAAGTTAATTAAAATGGTCAGTTAGCAGACGTGGACACTAATACAGTTTTTCCCACCAGTGAATTCTGTTCTGTTATATTTTCTACAGATTCTAAAGACACTGCAGCATTAACTAAAAGAGATGAGAGCAAATTACTCCAGATCAAATGTCAATCAAACTTTTAGGTTCATGTGGTATTCAAATATTGAAGAAAAAAAACGTTTTTTAGAAACAAATAATTAAAATATAGACTAAATATTTAAAATGTCAATTTTAGTTTTCTAGTTGTCTGACAGATCAGTGCTTTTTTTTAAAATCAATGCAAAAATCTTGTAAAAACAATACTGCTGTAAAACAATAGTGACCTTGTGCAGTCAGATGTATTCGAAATTAACAAACCAACACATGCACATCAAGAATTGAATCCCTTCTCGCTCACACGTGTGAACCTCCATGTAAAACGCGAACTGACCTGTACGAGCGCCGGGTGTTCGGGCCAGTCGTCCAGTCTCTGCTTCACTGCCACACTCAGCTGCTCGAGAACAGGGAGACAGTGGCAGGCCTCGCTCATGTTGGGCTGCTGATAAAAGTCATAGGGTCCGTCTGAGGTGACACACAGACCATCAGGACCCCCTGAACCCTGCACCGTGTTCTGGAGGAGGGCAGAGAGCAGCAGCTCACTTCCTGTCAACTGCTGGTCCAGTTCAGCATCTGAGGGAACCAGGGGAAGCCATGAACCAGTTTTCCATTTACATGACTGCATTTCTGCTGTACTGCTAGCAAACAAAGATACTGACCAATCAGATGATAGAAGCGTGACATCAAAGGGGCAGCGATCTGGTAGGAGGAGACCAGAGCTTTGATGGATTCTTTGCTGCGATTGGCTGTTACTGTGCCCTTATACCACAGTGATCGGGCGTATCCCAGACACAGCTGCTGGTGAAGCTGGACCACCATGTTCATGGCAGGCCGAGACAGGGAGCCGCTCTCCATTGACTCCTCCTGGTCTTTCTCCTCCTCAATCTCGGAGTCCGCTGGAGCCTCCAGGCTTGGCTGGGATATGATGTCTGCAAAATCCTGATGAAGAGCGTGGACACAAAGAATGAGCATGCCGTGTTTTGATGTTCACTTTTCTCTCACGAGTGAGTTAAGCCCGAGCTTTGCACTCCAGATGAGCCATTGTATCACAAAGTGAGACATTTTGTGTTTGTGCCAAATGTTTCAGAGATATCACCTTCACAAGTCAAAAGTGTGCTTTGTAAGGTCACTGAGACCTTTGACCACCGAAATCTAATCAGTTCATCCTTGATTCCAAGTGAATATTTGTGATTTTGAAGAATGAGATATGAGATATCATGCTCACGAGAATGAGATGGACAATACAGACGTACATACGAAAACGTATACCCTCCGCACAAACGACAGCCATTGGCTGATCTCCACACATACTGAGTCAGGACAGGTGTGAGCAGTTCTGTCAATACCTTGTTGAACTGTGGGAACTGGCGTCTGAAGTCCCTCTCCTCCTGCTCCTCCTCAGTCAGTCCTGAGCCGTGCAGTCGAGAGCGGTTGCGGTACAGACTGGCCTCCAGCTGCTCTCTCTCTCTCTTCAGTCTCTCCTGCTCGTCCCACTCATTCACCACGGCCTGAATAGCATCATGTTAGTCAGCCCAGCAGCATAAGGAGTATGTGTTCAGCTCGGAATGACGATGACAAATATTTCACACAAAAAACGTGCAGAATATAAACGTATTTTGATTCTATAAAAATGATAACATATGACATTTATTATAACTACATTGCAAACAGGTAAAACAGTGAGAAATAAGGGAGACAGATGTTCGACACAAAACTCAAGGCTCTGACCTGACAGATGTGTCTGAAGAGGCTGTGTGCCTCGGAGCTGAACTCTCCTGTGGACAGGGTATGGCAATGCACGAGCAGCAGAGCATTCAGAAGCAGCGTGGAGGACTTGGGGACCACATGCTCAGGGTCCTGTTGGGGCAGGAGCTTCACCAGGCAACGCAGTACGTCCATACAAGTCGTGGAGCAGAGGAAGTCTGCCCGGGCGAGGTAAGATGGAAGACTGGAGGACAGGGAGGGGAAGGCCAGCAGGCAGGACACCAGCTTGTGCAGACCTGGCACAGGCGTGAGCGAGGCAGCCAACTGGGAGGCCACCAGCCTCATGCCGTGCCGGAGCTGGAGGATGCCGGTCCGCACTGGCCCGACCACGTCGGGGTACAGGGGGTATTCCTCGGGCAGCCTCTGGGAGAAGCGCTGCTGGGAGTTCTGCCACACAGCCTCCTCCTTCAGCAGACTCTGAACAAACGACCTGGATTTGGAGGAGCCCTGCAGGGCCTTGAGCAGGTGAGACAGCAGGTCCTCGACTCTGGATGCCTGGCCGATGCTGCAGAGGTAATGCTGGAGCTCCTGGAAGAGTCGACCATACTGAGGCTCATGAGGGCGACAGGCCTGTTTCCTGGAGAGCTCAGCTATCTGCTCCTTCACCTGCTGCATACGGATCCACAAGTACCTGTAACCAGTAGGTGATTTATTAATTAGAAGGGGGAGGCGGCCCGGCACACACACCACACCACAATCATAAAGGTGACATTTCACATTATATAATTTCATCCAGGTATCTTCATTAATTTAAATCTCATGCAGCGGAATGTTTATTAAGTTTCCAATAAACATTAACATAGAAACATAGAAAACAACAAAACCTTATATATCCAGTTTAAGTCAGTTGTCATATCTGCCGTTGTAATGAAACGTTTATGACGTATACATACAAATTACTGCTGATTGATTTCGATGCAGATTTTGTGTTGATTCTTAATGGTTCTCATTTGTGCTTAGATAGAAGATAGAAATAAATAGGTTATCCCCTTATAGCCTCTATGACACTGACAACCACCACAGGTCAGTAAGTGTAGAGTAAGTGGTTCTTAAAAGATATCTGCTTCTCAAGAACTGTACAATTTAGAATCACTACATATTGAAGTTCACAGGGTGAGGATGTGGGGCTGGCTCTGACCTGATCCGAGGATGCTGGAAGCCATCAGTGGTGCTGCTCTCCTCCAGCTCTGCTCCAGTCATCAGCTGAGATGACAGACTACGACCTCTCCACTCCTCCTGCAGCAGAGCCAGCTGCAAGAAAACGATGGAAGCATCAGTTTAAAGTATTTCCAGGATTGACCACTAATTATCTACCCCTAACCAACAATTTCTGATGGCAGGATGGGAAATTCTGTTTCACTTGTTCTGTAGTAAGTAAATCAAAACCAGTGAATCTGCCAGATCAATAAATAGGGTGATATTAGATCACTGCAGATAAATTGGCATCTGTTTATTGGTATAGAAGTAAGTATAAAAAGGTGCCAATCAAAAACAAAAAGTATTTCAAAGATTTGCATCAAATCCAGTATGCGTCAGAACACACAAGAGACTTTTTATTCATCACATTTCTTTGAATATCACAGTATATTTGAGATTCTGCTGTCAAATTAAATTATACTGTATCAGCTAATGCCATGTTGATCAAGGTAGTGGATTATGATCAAATGAATCACACGTAAATAATAATACTCATGGCTCAAAGGGAGTCAAAGGCAATAAACGGTAGTTTTTACAGACAACGGGATAATAAGCACTAAAACCAGTCGGCTGCTGACCTCTTGCTGAGCGTAGTTGAGTTTGTAGGCCCTCTTCACAGCTGGATCAAAGATGGTTTGTGGTGTCCACACTTTAATCTGCAACAGGCCCATGTTGACCCAGAACACTCCGGAGCGGGCCAGGGAGTTGGAGCCTTGGACTTTGCTTTGGACGTACTGCTGCAGGCAGGTGATGCAGGACTCCACCAGGCTGTCGGGGAGCAGATTGGGGGGAAGGAAGTCTCTGAAGACTGTTTGGATCTCCTGGGCAGCTATCAGAGGGTCAGCATCCTCCACCAGGCTCTCGCAGCTCTCCATGTAGCCCTCCTGCAGACTGGGAGGCAGCAGGTCTGCCATGCTCTGAAGCTGCCGACGCAGGACCACGCCCTGCAGTCTGAAGTCTGTGCCCCTGAACAGATGTGGTGGTGATTAAAAAACGTTTTTTAAGAGAACTGACAGGACTAGGAATATACATTTCTTCTGATCTACCTGAACTCAGCGAGTGCAGGGATGGCCATGTTGTCCCACAACACTGCAGACACATCCTGCAGCTGCTGGATCCTCTCCTTCCACTCCCCCAGGGTGACATGGGAGAGGGAGAGCAGGACGGCTGCCGACGGCTCCCAACGATCTCTGGTCTCACTGCTCATGAGCACTCCCAGCATGCAATGCGACCACACTGCTTTACTTAACAAGGCTGGACCCTAAAAACAACATGGACAGTCTTCAGTAAAATGTATCACCACCAGCTGGAAAATCTGTTCCCTCTGAGAAACAGCAGCGGGCTGAAAACCCCTGTTAGAATTCACTGTTAAAAGACCACTACCATATTATCTGCTCCATGGGGCAGCTTTGGAGCTGGCTGGGTCTCAGGATTAAGTGGGTCCCATTTCAACCAGCGGTCTGGGTCGGAGGTCACGTAGCTGGTCCACAAGGCAGCCAGAGCCTCTGACAAGAGGTCACACCACACAAACTGCAGCTCCTCAGCGGGCTGGAGGGGAAACAAATCATTAGCACTGTTGATTAAGTTTGCAGGTCCAAATGAGAGTTTCATATTTTTTGTGTGTTTTCAGGCATTTTGTGTTTATATAATGATACGATCCCAGGTTCGTTTCAAGAATCTGTTTCAAAAATGCTTATTCCACTGACCCTGTCACTGCTGAGCAGGAACCAGAGGGGCTGCAGCTGACTGACATTCATCGGTGTGGACTGGAGGCAGTAACGAAGATGCCTGGAGAGTTCCCGCCGTATGTTGTCATCTGCCTCCTGATCACTGCAGAATCAACAGCAAGAGTTAATGAAACTGCCAACTGTCCGTCTCCATAAATGTTGGGTTGTTAGGTGGGAGGAAGATTTTTACCCAGGAGATAGAGCCAGGTGCAGCAGGTCAGTGCTGAGTCGCAGCTGGTTGAGCACAGCCAGTTCTTCCATCAGGGGCCAGAGCTGGGCTCTGCGGCTGAGCTGCTGCAGCTCCTTTCTGGCCAACTGGACTCCGACCACTGCGTCCTCCTCCTCAGAGATGGAGCGGAACTCTAAGAGACCCCTGGAGGTCATCTGACACTGCTGCTGCTCGACACTGGACAGCAACCTCTCCAACACTCCTGGTGTGATGGAAACATGTCAAGGATTTTTTTCAGTTAAATAACCAAATACAACTTGATATTAAAAATCAGAGCTAAAAGTTTGGTGCTCCATTAGCATCTGAAACAAACATGTGCAAGTGTGAGAAGAATCATGCAACACAATCAATATTTATTTCCTACTTTAATATTTTTATTGCCAAGAGTATTTTTGGTTCAACCTCGTTTTGTTT